CTCTCTCTCTCTCTCTCTCGTGTGTTTGATTTCTTTCTTTTGTTTGTTTAAACCGGAGGTCGAAGTTGTGCGTGAACACACACGGTTTTTTTCGATTAGTTTTCTCGTTGACACGTGGGCAGGAGAAAGCAAGAATGACTGATCGGTATATATATATATATATGTATATATATGTATATATACGGTGAGAACGATTCTATATGTACCAACGATACGAACGTATTTTGTCGAATTAAAGGGTCAGAAATGAAGATATACAAGCAAATAGTAAGAATGTTGCGGGTATAACGGTGTCTACAACGCAATGCCTTTATGTGGTGCGGTAACTAAACTGACGGAGCCAGGCCCTGCCGCCAATCGCTGCACCCTCTGCTGCCCGCTGCCACCACCGCCCCCAATGCTACTAGTTCTGCCTAGACTAGAGGGGTGGGAGCTACGAGGAGGATAAAGATCGAAGGAAACAATCAAGGAAAACTCGTTGGATAGAGGAGGATCGACGAGCATGGCGGAATGTACGCAGGCGCCGAAAAGAAGCAATGACTGCACCCTCTCCCTGGATCACCACTACCGCGATATCACTTCTCGATGGAGGGGTTGCGATGGCGGCGAACATGGCCAAGAGAGAAACGGAGGAAGCTGAAGCTTCAGGCAAAGGAAGGTGAAGCCGCAAGTAAATAGTGAAAGAATGACCGAGAACGGAGAGAAACGGAAGGGAAGTACGCAAGCGTCGAATCGAAGTTCCGGAAGGCAATGACTGCGTATTCCGGATGGATGGTAGGAAAACATGGTTCGAGAGTTCGCCGAACGCGGTTCGAAATATAGAAACCGGGCCACGGTGAGTGGCGAGAAGGAAACGGTGACAAACCGAGGTTAAAGACGGCAGGGGATCTACGCAGGCGTCGAACGACGACGAGGTAATACTCGAAATCGTCGTGACGTTAACTCGTTTGGCGTGAAGAGTTACAGGAATGTAACTACGACGGGGATGTACACTCGTCAGACAAAATCATGAGAGAAAGACAGAGAGCAATAACTCTTTCCGAAAATAATCACGCATCCTCTTTGTAACATTTAAACGAAAGCATGGATAAATAAAAAAAATTAAGAAATTTCTAAAGAAATTAAAGAGCCGCGTACGTCAGATAAAAATCCAAGAAGGATTGCTCCGTAAAATCTCTGGACATTATGATCATCAGAAAGTTTTTATGATAAATAAAGAGCACAAAAGAAAGAAAAGGAAATGAAATCGAGGGTAGTTGCGAAACACGCAGGCGCTGGAGAAAGGGTCGTGAACAATGGCTGCTCTCTCTCTCTCTCTCTCTCTCTCTCTGGAGATCCTCTGGACTTTGCAACCACCGATACTGATTGAAAGAACGCTCGCAAAGAGCATGTTCCGAAGAGACCGAAAGAAAGAACGAACGAAGGGCAGAAAAAGAGTTGTTGACGGATAGCCGATCGATCGAACGATGGCCGGGGTGACGAAGATTTTTGGAAGGAGAAGAGAATC